ATATACATGAAAGATATAGATCAGTTCTTACCAGATCAGTAATAATACTACTGACAGTAGTTGAAGCATTAATACAAGCTTGTGTACCACGTACATTTGTTTGTAAAGCATTTAAAACATAAGAAATCTAAAGCAAAAAAAACAATGATTATATGAATAGAAAATAAATAAAAAATATACTTTTTCAATAACTTTTTGACATAAACTTTCTAAATCATGCTTAAATTTATTTTGTCCTAATTTTTCAATTAATTCAATTAATATAAAACCTAAATCTTGAACAACTTTTTTAATACGTATTGATAAATCATTTGATGTTGCTGTACCAACTGCCCCATATGTATTATTAACTAATTCATTATATTCTCGTGTTAATTGATTAGCTAAATGACGTATATCAATAGAATCATTAATATCTTTTATTGTTTTTATTATTTGTCTTAAAATTTCAATCATTCGTGTTTGATAATCAATAAAATGACCTTGATTTTTAATTGTAGTTGTATCTAATGTTGAAATTAATTTACGTATATTATCACACAAATTATTTATTTGACCATTTGTTGATGTTTGTTCTTGAAATACCTGAATAAATTTTTGTATTAATTTTATAGCTAAATCACTATTTGTATCAACAATTTTATGCCATTGAAGATTTTTTATATTTCCACTTGATTCTTTTGTACTTAAAATTAATTGTAAATTTGTTTCAATAAGTGATTTAATTTGTTCTAATAAAAGAATTTTTTCATGTTTATGTGCCATACATGAAATTGAATCAACAATATGATGTATAAATGGTTGTAAATATGTTATATATTGTGAAACATAACTACCAATACGTTCACATTCACGTTTGGATGATTGACATATATTATTAATAAGATCAATAAGAAAATGTGAACTTGATAAAATTTGTTCTTGATGAAACTAGATATATACATTACAAAATATTTAAATAGGAAAATTTAGGTCGAGTTAAATGAGCTCCAAATTTCAAGTTTACGAGTTCCAAGTTTTTTGACAAATTGTAGCTTGTAACTGTGTACATTTTTATTGAGCACAACACCAGTTGACTCAGCACAGTTCAGAGTATCTATCAGGGCAATCAAAAACAGGAGATTCAGAGATGGGCAACTCCGGGGGTAAGCAACTCCAACTCCATCGATTTTTTTAAGGCTCCACTCTAACTCCAGATAAAAAAGCGTCAACTCCGGAGTTGAAGTTGTTCATCTCTGATGGATATTTTTTGTTGTTCCCTTACACGTCATGAGATCCACTGAACTTGAATCTGAGTTGGAAAAAAGCACCAACTTTAACTCCACTCCAACTCCAAGTAAAAAAGAGTCAACTCCGGAGTTGGAGTTGCCCATCTCTGGAGTTCCATTACAGTTTTCAGATAGTTTTTCGAGAAAACTTAAATATCCGTAAACTTCAAATTTGGAATACACTTAACTTGATCGAAAATTTATAATAAAAAACAAACCTGTAGTGATTTATCAGTTTTACGTAATGAATCAACATTCATAATAGCTTTATCAATTTCTTGAAAAAGTCTTCGAAGTTCTTCAACAGCTCGTTCACATTCATGTTGTCCAGGTGTTAGTTCTCTGTTTTTGTTTAAAATATTTAATCAATAAAAAAGAGGAAATTTTGATCATATAATACATACTTTACAGATGTTGCTAAACGTTTAATTGCTTCTGATACACTTTTTGTATGTGTAGCAAGTTGTTGCCATAATGTTGCTTCTTTTGAATTACCTATTAAAATTTTTGAACATTCAACTATACGACATGCACCATCAACGACATTTTTAGCAGCTGATAAAATTGGTTCTTGAGACTGACGTCCCTAATTGAAGAAAATCAATTGAATATTTATTTGGATTTAAAAAAGCAAAAAATATTTTACAGCAGAACTAATTGTTAGTGGTACACCGGCAAATTCTTTTGACATAGCATATGTATGAAGTTCATCGATTGATTGAAGTAATGGACGACTTATTTCAATACAATGTCGATGATTTTCTTGTGTATATGAACTATCTAAGATCTTCAAAAGCGAGAAAAAGAATAGTTTGATTTATAAAAGAAAAGTATGATTTATACTTTAATTGTTCGAACAAGTTCAGCTGTTGCATTTGCTACATCTTTAGCTGATTGTACAAAACGTCGTCGAGCCATTGGATTTGTTGTAGTTGATGATGCATCACGAGAAATATTACATAAAGTTGATGTATTTTTAGCAATTGTTGCTGCCAAGTTCAAAATCTTAATAAAAAATAAAAAAATTTTAAATATTGTTCCACTTCTGTGATTAACAAACTCATAGACACTTCAAGATGACTGTAGCAAAAGGAAAATACATTAGACATTTTATTTTCCGGGTGTGCGAAATCAAAACGCCGGTTTGGGCGCCACCCATTATTGCTTTGGCTACGTTTCGTTTTTCAGGGGTTCGAATTGCAATGTCGGGTAGGTGCCGCCCACCCGTCATGATAAACTCTGAATAGATATTGAAATTTTATGTCATCGGCAGGGATTATATAAGCGTCAAATACAATATGAACTTCTTATCAGTAATGTAAAAATAAAGTTTGTGTGCAATAGTATAATAAAAATTTCTCAAATACTAACATTATCTCGATTGATTGATGTATTTGATAAATCTGAACATGCATGTCGAATAGCTGTAACAGATCGATTAAATACTGCATGATCAATAACAGGTGCCATTCCTTTTGTTGACGTTACTTCTGATACACCAATTAAATAACTTGCCTAAATATACATAATAAAAGTAAATACTAGAAGTATATTTTGAAATTTACTTGAGCAGATGATTCTGTTAGATTACAAACAGCTTTTGATGCATCTTGAATAGCTTGTACAAATAATTCATGATTCGTATTTTTTGAAGCACTAGCTATATGAGTCATAGCTTCTCCTAAACGTTTCGAATTTTCTACAACATTATCTAATGTTTCAAAATATGTTAAATTTGAACATGGTTGTAAAACTGATTGTTGTAATAAAGTCTTTGATGTTTCCATATCATGTATTGCATTATCACATTCACTACGTTCAATAGTAGTCGTTGGTGATTTTGGTACTAAACATGCTGTTATAACATCATTTATACTTTCTGTAACTGCTCTAAAAATCAAAAAAACAATATTTTAATATATTAATCTGTAAAAAACAAAATAATTCTCTTTTTATACTTTGCTGCATTCGCTAATTGATATTTAACATCATTATCATTTATAGCTGGTTCAATTGAAATTGTTTTAGCTCGTTCTAAAAATTGATTTGATGATGAATGAACATTTTTTAATGATACTATTAAACGTGATCGTTTATCATCTTCTTGTTGATGATTTATAAAATAAATACCATTGTCAATAAAATCTCCGAATGCACGACTAAAATGTGCTGAAGTTTTAGCTAAATCATTTGTACCACCTGTATGTGTACTAACAACGAGATCTGTTGTTGCTTGATTAAGATTAGCAGCTGCACGATTTATACCATCGGAATTCAGTGAAAGTGGAGAAGATTTACGATCAAATGGACCAGCTAATGCATAAACATATTCACACATTTGTTTAATAACTTCATCAAAATAACGTTGAGATGGCATATTCGACATACATGAATTTATTGCAGATGAAAGATCACGTGCTATAAGTGAAAGTTTATTTTGATCACTGGATGTTTGAAGAACTTTTTTTGCTTCATGTATAAGATTAATTGAATATTTTAAAACATCACGTGAACGTTCGACAATTGATATTTGAATTTGTTGATCTGTTGTTATAGCAGTTAAATTACGTGTAGAATTAATTAATTTACGAAGAATTTGAAGAATATCTTGTATAGAATTTTCAACAATTTTTTCATCTTTCTAAATAATCAAAAGAAAATATACAGATTAAAAATTTTGTATTTAATTTACTTGATTCACAGCATTGAGTAATTGATTTATAATTGTATTTATTTGTTTACAAATTGAAGCAAATTGTGTTGAACATGTATCAATCTAATAGATAAGAAAAAATAAAAAAAAGATTTGAATTTATAAAAAGAAACGAACTGTTTCATTAGGTTGAATTTTTAAATAATTATCATTTGCTTGTCGTTTAATATCATTTAATTCTCGATCAAGTAATTCAATGGATTCAATAATTGATTCAATGTCTAATAAAACTGAATGACTTAATTCTTGTGCCTAAAAAACAACAACAAAGATTTCATAAATATAAAAAAAACATTTTTTTTTCGTTTACTCGATTAACACAAATTCTTAAATCAGTTAAAGCTTGAGTTAATTGTTTAGAACTATTATTTAAATGTAATGCTTGCGATTGATCATGAATAGTTGGTACAACTGTTTTAGCAATATTCGTTAAATGTGTTGCGGGATCAAGAAAATCTTCACAGGCATTTATTAAATTATTTTGATATGCATATGAATCTGGTTTAATCATACATGTTCGAATACTTTGAACAACTTTAGGTATAAGATCAGCAATAATTTTACATTGTTGAACAAGTTCTTGATGTGATTGATGATTTTTATTATCCATAACTAATGCGGATGTTGCCGCAATACATTGTGTTGCACATGATGCACTATATTTTGCACATTGTTCAACACGTTTAAATATTTTTCGTTTATTACTATTTGTTATTGCCATATTTGTTGCTGAACGAAGTTCTTCAACAGCTTTTTTTAATTGATATTGAAGTTGGGTATCGTTTGGTTTTGTTGCACAACCTTTAGCACATTCAACCATACGTGATGTGGCATCAGCAAGCATTTTAGCAGCTGATAAAAAACGTTTTTGTTCATTTGTATCATCATCAACAGATTCAGCTTGTTGTCTTAATGATGAAACGAGTTGTGCAGTTGCTTGTGCTAAAATTTTCGCTTGTTTAACCATTTCAGCTGCATCACCAACGGAAGAAAATAGCCGATCACTTGCAACTAATATTTGATCAATCGATTGATCATGATGTTTTTCTTCATTTTCTTCATTCACTTCTTCAATTTCATCCGTAGCTATTAAACGACGTGCAAGTAATTTTGGTGTACCATTTGTAATAGGAGAAAACATTCGATCGGAATTCGCTGCTGAACTATCAGTTATTAATTTAATATGAAGTAAAAATTCATTGAGAGTTTTACGAACAGTTCGTCCAGCATCCGTTAATTCAGAAAATAATAAATCGGTTGTTACAGGTGGTAAACATGATTGAAGAACATTTTCAATTGAACGTGTTACACTACGAGCTGATTCAATTAATTGTTCTTGACATAATGGATTCGATATTGTCGCAGCAACAACCTACGGAAAAAAAATAGTCTAGATTTACTTTTTTTTCTTAAGACACTTACTTTTGTGCAGGCGACTAATTGTGATGTAGCTAGAGCACATTGTGTAGCTGTTGAAATAATTTCATTAACAATTTGTTGTTCTTGTACATTAGTGGCAATATCTTTCGCTTTAAGTACATATAATGCTGTTGTATTTGCAACTGATTTAGCTAATGATAATAATTTATCTTGATATTCAACTGAACAATCTTGATCACCATTTAAACGTCGAACAAGATCTTGATTTATTTCACCTAAACGACTAGCTGTTATAAGAACATTTTGTCTCATTGTTGAATCATAATTATTATCAATTAATGTTTGTAAACATGTTAATAAATCATTAAATATTGTACATAAACGACGTGTTTGATCAATTAAATTTGTTTTATCATTGATTAAATTCGTATAAACATCCATTTCTTTACAAAATTCATTTAAATTATTTGTTATTGTTGATATAGCTGTACTAAGCGAATGATTTGAATCATTATTTCGACGATGACAATTATTTATATCCGATGTTAAGATAATAATTTGTGCTGTTGATGCATTTATTGTAGATAATTCACCAGTTAACAACTGACGACTAATATCAATACGATTTTCTATGGATAATTGTTGTTGATTATTCTTCAAATGAAAAACAAAAGCAAGAATTCAGTATTATTTTATTTCAAACACAAACCATCATAGATGATAATGATTGAGTTTGTTGTGTTTCACGTGCTAATTGAGATTGAGAATTAGTAACTGTATTTCGAGCGTTTTCTATTGTGGAATAGAGAATTTTATTCGAATGATTATCAGGTGATGATTTTGGTTGTTCCTTAATTAAGTAGAAAAAATATATATATAAAAATTGAGTTTTTATTTTATTTTACATGAATTTGTGAGACGAAATAACCTTCTTGTTGTTGTCGATGATCCGAATGATTTGTTCCATCTATTACGAAAAGAAAACACGAGATGTTTTAATCCTAAATGTTTCGATTTCCTGTCGAATTTTTTTGCTCAATATAGGAAATATTAATAGAAGGTCAATTATAATGGTAATCATTCAAATACAAACGGAATTTCCGTTTCCACTTCATTCAATATCTATCATTTACTAATTAATATTATTAAATGATAATATTAGTCTTCTGATTCATACTTCCTTCTTGTGATTTATTTAGGTAGAACAAATCTACGGATTATAAAAGATGTCGTTGTAGCTGTAGGACTCAGAACGGAAGAAAAACAATTCATTGCTGATGAATCAATACTTACTGATTTATGAAAGTAATCATACTTAGAAACCTATTCGTGTTGAACAAATAAACTAAGCGTTATTCACAGAAGTGAATACTCAATGAGAGAACAACTATAAAAGAATCAGAATCTACCTGAAAATGTTCCGCGAATTAAGGGTGATGAACGAACATTTTGTTGATGTACAAAACCTAATGATGGACGATTTGGTTGAATAATTGTCGCTCTTAAAAAAGTAAATAAATAAATAAATAATTTCATTTTTCTATCAATATCCTTACTTTCCCGGTGCGATAATATCTTCAATCATAGTTGATTCTTCATCAACAATTCCATCGCGATCCGTACATTCTCGATCTTTTCTCTAAAAAACATATCAAATATTAGTTATTTCATAAAAGAAATAAGAACCTTTTTTAAAATAATATCAATATAACCAGCAATTAATTGTGAAATTTGTTGACCTTCATGTGTTTGTACTGAATAATAAGCACTTGCATAATCACCAAAATCCTACAAGAAAAAAATCGTGTTTGTTTTATAACATCTCGTGTAGATGTCATACTAGTGTAAATGTGTTTGGTGATGCTGTCCATCGTTTAACATGTGTCAATGGCCATACTTCAAGAAACTAAATAGATGAAATATGTTTTTTCATTTGCGAAAAAAAAGATAATTTTACATCTTTTGATCGTTCATCAACACGAATAATTGAATCCTTCGTAACACCAAGAAGACGTGGTACAAGTTTATTTTTTCCCGACATTTTTTCCTATAGAAAAATTACATGATTAATCTTTTATTTCATTTATTCGAATTACTTTAACAAGAAAAAATGTAACACCATAAGTTCGTAATGAACGACATAATTGTGTATATTTTACTTTTCCATCGAGTTCAGCTAAATTCTTATGTTTTTTATGTTCCTGAAATCAAAAATTTCATATATTATGAAACAAATATTATTCTATTATAAAAACTTACCAGAAAAATTTTTCTTTCCGAATTTTTTGTTTTACAATATTCTTTTGGTAGAAAATCTCGTATACTAAAATAGATAAAAGATTACATCATTTACATATAATACTAATATTTTATCACTGTCAATACTAATCATACATCTGACAAATGAGTTCATTTTCCTAGTATCACAAGAAAATTTTCACATGACAAAATGTGATTTATGAGAAGATTACATACTTTATCTATACTAAATATCACTTTTTTGTTCCGCGATGAAAAATCAAGGAAAATAGTAAATTCAATTGCGAAATTCATGTTACTTGTCATAAATAATTATTCATATCGAGGTATAGAAATTTTCAATAATGTCATAAGTATGATATTTTTTCATTATTTCTCAACGTTTACATCCTTCGTAAAAAAAATTATACTCCGGTAAATTAATACTATATGAAATCAATTTGTTTTAATGTTAAACATAGGTTATAGTAGACTTCATTCTCTTATTTAATAGCTCTAGGCGAAAGAGAGAAAAAAAATTAATCTATTGACATAAATCAAATATAAATAGATAGACTTTTGTCACTTAATGTATTATCAAAGGTTTTGTATCGAAAAAAACCTTTCTATTATATTCTGAATTTTTCTGTTAAATAAAAAAAGAATAATCGTAAGTCTTTACTCAATAATTCCTGGTTTATGTTTTGATTCTTCATAATCACCAAATTGTATTTGACATTGTAAACCAGCAAATTGAATAGCTTCATCATAAGTTACCGGATGTGTTCCATCGATTATTCCATTTCGACACTATAAATAATCATAACTATTAATAGATTTCTTTTCAATAAAAATTACTTGAACATAAAGTAAATTAAGTTGAACAGGATCACGTTGATCAATATTAGTATCCGAAAAGAAATATTTTCGTCGTAAAACAACTGTTGATTGTTCATCAAGATCTTGTTGACGAAGAGTTTTTGATTGATCAAGCCATAAAGCTAAAATATTGAAAATAAACTTCAATAAATCAAAAATAAAATTAAACTAACTATCATCATCTGTATGACATTTTTTTCTTAATTCTTCCATTTTTTTATCCGTTCGTTGAAGTGAGCGATCCTATAAAAGATTTAATAATAATTTAAAATTATATATAATCAATTACTCGTAGAAGAGTTGCTGTTTTTGTATTATTATTTCCATCATCAGAATCAACATCATAAACTAATGAATATTCATCATAATTTGCAATACCAAATTTTGTACATATATAAACCATAAGTTGAGCAACAATCAATGAATCATCAATAAGAATTGTTTTAACAGTACCATCGAGTAACCGAATTTTAAGTGGACGATATCGATTTTTATATTCAATATGATCCTAAACAAAAATATAAATGAATAAAAAGCCTCAAGCTATTTCTTCAATCATACTCCATTTTTTAAAAGATAATAATTCAATATTTTCGTTGGATCAAGCCAATAACTTCTCGTTGAATGTTGTGTATCATTAACAAATAGTCCATATTCCGATGCTAAAATATAAATATTAAGAAACAAATCTTAAACCGAAAACAATTCCTTACAATCATGATCAAATGTTAATGGTAAATATTGTTGAATATTATGAATTAAATCACTAATTAACATTTGAACATCAAATTGCATTGAATGAACACTACTATCGCGTGGAATATGGATATTTAATGTAATCATATGTCCACTCATATTATGATTATCTCCATTTATTGTTGTTAAATTATTATTTGTAACCATTTTTATATGATGTTGTGTCTGTTCTCGAGTTTGAATTGTTCGTTCGCAAACATACTTCTAAAAACAAAAAATTGATAAAAGAAGAAATTGAATCTTATTTAAAAAAAAAAAGAATGTTTTACAAGTGAAAAAAAAACGTTGCAGCTTCGATTATTATTACTTTTACTATTCTTTCAGGAAATCGATTCTATTGTAAATGAGTGAGGAAAAAAGCCCGCAGCAAATCAACACACACAATGTACTCGATCAACAATAAGAGTAGTGCGTGGCCGCTATTTTGTTGCGTTCAATCGTTCAAAGGAAGAGAAAGGAGAAGAAAAAAAAGAGAGAAGAAAAAAAAGAGAGAAGAAAAAAAAAACTCTCTTCTTCTTTCTATACACGGCTGTCCTGTCCAGTCGACAATGAACTTCATGTTTTTTTCTCTCGCGTTCTCTTTTCTCTTCTTTAAGTATACTCAACCAAATAATGAGATCGCAATGGTCCTACTGAGATGACGACGTATATATGGCACTCGAATGCGTATAATATAGCAGATGTTTAACGTATGTCTACAATTGTACGAATGATAACGATCTTTTCTTAATGAGCAATCGTCGCATCATTTAGCGAGCTTATCCCAAATGAAATAACACTATCCTTGACACATACATTCTTTCATTTATCATTATCTTTCTTTGAAAGAAGACTCAATACAAAAAATAATTGGTTCATAATAATCAATAACAATACAAAAAAAAAAGAAGAACTAACGTATTCTATTCCAACACAGTCAAATATCGATGTAACATATCGGCATATTTATTTTGCTCATTATTTAACCATTGTATTTGTAGATTTGATCGTTTTTCATCATCATCGATAAATATATAAGCAATAATTGCTTTTTCATAATGAGATTTTTCAAACGATTTAAAATGAAATTTTTTCCAAATTAATTTTCTTATTGTCCAATTATCTTTAATACATTGAATAATATTTTTATCTTCAATATCAAATAAAAATAAATTTTCTAAGAATAATTTCCATGCTTGATAATCATTTTTATTTTTTTCATAATCTAAATAATCAAATAATCGATCAAATATTTCAATAAAATTTTTTCTCATTTCTTCACAATAAATTAATACATAAGGTGATGAACTTGGATCGTATTCAATTAATTTCTTCAATGAATTTATATTTAAATCAAACCAATAACTATATTTATACGCATTTATATATATTTGATGTTGTTGAATATATAATTCAAGTATAGGTGATATTTGTTCACTATTTGTTTGTGTTATATAAAGAAAATAAAGATATTTTAATAGATATATATCATAATTATCGAAATATTCATTTGATAAAAATTGTATTTCATGAAAATTTGTTGTTAATTTAAATGCCCATAATTCTAAATTACGTTCATTATCAAATGGAATTTTAACTGAATTTATAAATGGATTAATTGTTGTTTGTATTAATGAATAATCTTCTAACCATTGTCGATAATCGTATAGAAAATGTAGATTTATTAATAATAATTGTTCAAATTTAGGATTAAATTTATATATATATGAAACATGTTTACATCGACCTGAATAGAATGGTTGAGGAAGATTTTTATAACGTGTTTCTATGTCATTATATAAATGTATTGTTTGAGGATTTAATAGATATAAACAAAGATAAGAATAGAATGTTTGTGTACGATCAATAGTTGGTGAATGAAATAAATTTTCAAAAATTTGTGATAAAAATGATAGATCTATTTGATTGTTTTCATTGAAATTTTCAATTAAATAACGAAATATTAATTGCCAATAAAGACGCATATATGCGCGACAGAATGTTGATTGTAAAAGAGATTTTAGGTAATACAATATACTTGTCCATTGATGTTTTAATGAATAATGACGAAGTATTAATAATAATGAACGTATTTGATCATCATGATGTATTGTTATTAATTGTTCAAGACGTGTAAATAATTTACCATTGGAATACATACGATTTGTTGAGATTAAACCAGTATACATATCTGATTGATATCGACCGGTTACTTTAGTTCGACATGGAATGCGATTAACTGATGAAAATAAATTAATTTCATCATTTTCAAGCAAAGACATTTCAGATGATGAGGATGACGAGGATGATGGTAAACGACGTAGACGTTTTGTCATGGTAGAAAAATCTATAACGGGATTGTCTCTCATTCATACATACATGCAAACTCATTATTAAATTACCTATTTCTCGCGCATTACGAAAAGTTTCTAATTTCTAATGAAATCTTACCTCTTTAATGATTTCTTTGTAGCGAACCATTGAGATTTACATAAGAAATAGAGATGAATATATGTAAACTGAGAACTAATGTAGAATAATAATAACAATAGAAAATAGATGAGAATGCATTTGGTCGATAGTGAGACGAGAAAGAAAAAGAAATATTCTAATAACACTACTGATTGATATTCTTATTCTTATTAGTAAAGACAGATTCAGTCTTCTTTTCTTTCTATGTTCCTCAATAATCACGTAACTCTAGATGTTCTCTCTTTTTGTTCGTCTCTAAACATACAAAAGAAGAAGAAGAAAAAAAAAGTCAACTATTTTTCTTTTATAATAAAATAAAAGAATACAATACAAAACACAATCAATGAACAAAATCTAATCAGTTCTTCGGATCATAATGTTTATCAATAATCTTAAATGAACCATGATCATATTGAACAATAACACACTCTCATCAAATATTATATCAACTTCACAAGTATATCTATTAATCAATTGTTGAGTAAATAATACTTGACTTTCAATCAGTGATGATGATGTTCAACAAGTTTAATAGAATATAAAAAAATCACCTATTTAATCCATCTTGCGATTCTTATTCCTAAATAAATAAATAAATAGAAAAGAATTTGCCTATTGTAATACTTACATATAAATTTTTTTTGTATACCTTGACAACGTAAAACTAATGAAATAGGATGTTGTTTATAAAAGTTAGTTGAACATTATTTTAAAGAATTATTTGATTCTTACACATCAGATTGTATATTTTCATAAGAATAATAAACTAAACAAGATGTACTATCGCGATTCTTTTTTGTTATGTCAACTAATTTAATTTATGAATGATTTGCTATATCACATTGGTAAAGAACCGACGATATTTGTTGATAGAAGTATAATAAACTTTCAGATCATTCATGTTGGATTTTAATAGCACAAACAAATGGATGCACATATGTTAAATAGTTAATCTATCACGAGATGGTATTCATTTATACCTAAGAATAGGCACAAGATTAAGATGTCCAGTATTCGACGTCATTTACTGGCTCATCCTCGTAAATATATTTTTTATAGTAAAAATTGATCTTAGATTAAATTTAAATCTAATATAGTTTGGATCGAGAGTTGTACTTAATTTAGTTGAAATATATCACATTTACTCAATACAAAGCAATAATAATAGATCGTATTACTCAATGAACGAAGAAAATGATAGTAAGATAAGTATATATAAAACTTTACATAGATATTTTACTATTCACAATCATCCATAAGAAATCTAGACTAATGATTCCGGATGGAACTTCGATTTGTTCAATTTTCATTAGTATATTTTCGGAATAAATTTCAATAGTTAACATATTCAACCAATGATCACCGAGTGAAATTATAATTTTATTTATTAAATATAATTAAAAAAGATTTTCTTTTTAGGATATTTTAAATCTGATTAAATTATATTTATACTCATCAAAATAAATATATAGATGTCGTTAGTATCATTCAAAAAATTTATTGATATTAAGTTTAATATCTCGATAGACTATTTTGATCACTAGATTGAATTCCATTCAATCGTAAAATGAATAATGATGAATATAGTAAAATGATATGTTATAATTAGTTGTTTATTCTTAACCTACATTCTTATGAATGTTATGGTATGTAGATTGAATAATATTTCATGAAATATTTTTTTGCAAGGAGATAATAATATACATTCACCGTCATATTTGATCAAATACGTCATTACAATTTATTTGAGGTCTACAGATGGAATGTTACTATATATTTACTTTATTATTAATAAAAATAAAGTAACACTTTTGGTCTACAGTAGGAAATGATTGACGAGATATGATTAGTCTTGTTTTGTTGATTATATAAATAAAAAATTTCAATATATGAATATACATTTAAGTCGTGTGTTACGGTAGTTTTATTTTTCCTTCACATAGTCTTCAATATTGTATAACGAGTAATGAGTGTAAATTACTTCTTGTCACACAAGTAAGGTTTCAATCGAGTGTAATCAATAAGCGTAGCGAATATATAAATATGTATATGTCGACTATAAACATAAAATAAGAAAAAATATTTCGGTTTTAATTAATATGACTCGTCCGTCTTCTCCAGTCATCACATTGATTATCTTGCTAAGTTTTGGTAAAAGAAAATTTTCAAATTAAAATAATTTATCGACTATTTTACTAGTTATTATAACGAATGTTGATTGTCGAGCTAGTGGTCATGGTCGTGGAAGAGCTGGACGTTTTCGAATTTCGTAAGCATTTAAAATACTACTAATGATAAATATATTGCTGATATTTTATCGTTAGAAATATAGTGAAAAATCGACATCATTATAATAATATTAATCGGTATTTAAACAAAAAAATTATCGTTTGTTTATGTTTTGAATAATTTATTTTATATAGGCAATCATCCATTTTACATAAATCAAATAATCGTAATTTAATTCGTGGTACAGTTACAGGGGGTGCAACTATATTAGTTGGCTCATTAGCTTTACGATCATATGTGTCCAATTATAAGAAAATATCTAATCAATCTGATCTTATACTTACTAGTTCGTAATTATTTTGTAAAAATTATTATTCTATCATGTATTTTCTATCATAGATGGTACAGGAAATGTATGTGTAAATAGAGAAAATATTTCTAATTTTGTTTTCAATGAATTTCATTGTCCATTATCACCTATATTTACAACCAATGATCGGTATTGCTGTGGCTCATTTCAACAACAATATTGTTGTTCCTTCTGGGAAAGGTACTATTCTCTTTTCTAGGGTTTTTCCCTTTCGAGATGACCTAGTCTCTACTCGTCTTCTGACATTTATTCTCTTTCTTTCCTATTCGTCTCTTCCGCCATCGCAGTCGTAGCAAGAATTTGCGAGTAGTCTGAATATGCGCGTCTTGCTCAACTACAATAAACAGTTCTAGTATACAAACAACACAATTCTTTTCCTTGGAGATCCTTATTTTTTTTTCTTCTTCTATAGTTGACGTCTTTTTTTGTCTACGTCATAACCAGTGATGCTCACTGACTGTCTTTACTTTTTTTTCTCACTATATTATATTTAACTAGCTAAACACGATCTTCTCGGGTTCGTGAGAATGAATAAATATATATTAATTGAAATCCCATTAGTATTCTAAATAGTATTTGTATATTATCTAATTAACCTTTATTTATTAAAAGCAGACTTAATTTTTTATTCAAGTCAGACGATTCTAGTATAACTAATAAGATCATAGGATTTTTCTTGATACAGTTATCTTATATTTCATTCTGTTTTTTTCTTTTTTAGTCATAGACAAGTAACTGGTACTGTTATTGGCATTATCGCAGCATGTAGTCTTCTTCTCGTATTTATTATCTGTTTTATCATTTATTATCGACGTCAAATAAAACAAAAAGGTTTCTACATTAAATAATATTATTTGAAATTTGAGCGATATTTTCTTATGTAATTAGAATCTTCAAATGTAAAATCATATATAAGGCATGTAAATTATATGTGCTCATAATAGGTGAAATGAATAAAGCAAACTAATAGAAATGCTTTCTATCTTAATTATAATTTTCAAAACTCTAGGTCGTATTCTCATATTTTTGAAGTTGACGCAGATGGTAGATGGTTTATAAATAACAATTTTATTATCTTGTTTTGCTTAATGTACTTTTCTTTTTTATTCTTTTTGAGTACAAAAAGTTAAAATAATCATATCATTAACAGGTATAAACAACCAAATCAACTATAAATTTCCAGACGGTGGACTAATTGTTTTCTTTCAGAATGTATGTTATTCTACAAAAAATTATATAGAAAAATAATTTTTCTTTTATTCTAGTTTCTTTATCATCGTAGTCGACAGTAGTAAAATATTTTTAGTTGATTTATAATATTCATAATAAAATAACGATATGTTTTGCATAGAATGTTTTTTTTATTTATTTGTTGGATATTTCAGATTTCTATTTTGCCGTTAATTAATAACAAAATGAAAAATAATTATCTATATAAATGTTCATATTTTTTATTTATGGTTTCATGTAAGTTTAGGATTTTATTTTATAATTTAGAAAAATATTTATTTTAATTTAGTATTAGTGATATTATCATTAGTTGAAGGAAAAGGGTTTAGCAGTTCACGAGGTGGAGGTATTAAGGGTTCAAAAGGATCAGGAGTATTTGGAGGATCGTCAAGTAATATTCGACCAAATAATTATAATACTATGAACAAACCGTAAGAAATTTCATCATCTTGTTTTTTTGTAATATTAAAGTATTTCTTTTTTGTCTATATTTAATGACAATCTAGAAGTAGTTTTAGAAAAAATGCAATGGGTTTTGCTGCTGGAGCTGCTGGTGGTATTGCAGCATATTCAATAATGAGATCGATGTCTGGATCATATCGATCCCGACCTGGTGGTTATTATGAGCCAGGCTATGGAGGTAAATCTATTAATAGAGAATTTTTCATTTAAGATTAATGATTTAATTTCAGGTGGAGATACTTGTGTAAACAATGAAGATATGAATGGCACAAGCTTTGGATCATTTCGTTGTCCACTCAATGGATTTCCATATGAAGCAAAATATTGTTGTGGTGAATATGGAAAACAATATTGTTGCGTACGCGAGAAAAAGTTTGTTCTTTCAAAAAAAATTTGATTTCTCATTGTATTGTAAATTTGATTTTATCTATTTAGTCGTTTTCTTCGTAATAGTGCTCATTTTGGATGGATAGTTCTAATTCTCGTCGTTCTTTTTATTGTTATTTTATTAGTAGCTCGACGTCGTCGACAACGACAAAGTATGTTAATTGGATTGTTCTCTGTATTTTTATTCTTTACTATAAATAGAAGAAATGATGATGATACCAACAGAACCACCAATGCATGAACAAAATAAGCCACCACCTTTTTATCATCCACCACCGCCGCCAATGGGTTATCCAGCACCACCACAATATCCAGCTGCAAATCCATATGCAGTTCCACCACAGAACTATTCGGAAAATTTTAATCCATATGCACAGCAATCTCATATGCCATATCCACCTCAACAACAACCATATCATTCCCAATAAATTATGAAAAAGTAAGTGTAATAGAAGTTTTGTATATACAGTGAAACCTCTCTAAGATGAACACTAACGAGACTTTATAAAAAGTGTT